CTAGTTAAGTATTTTATTTCCACATATAAAATATTTTGGTTACCACAAAAAAAAACGGAGAAGGAAAATAGAAAAGGTGAGACATTGAGAAGGGACATGAATGTCCCATCACTTTCTCACTTCTTTTCACAATCTGCTTATTTATCAAAGTAAATAACAAAAAATACAAATCATAAAGACAGAAGGGCTCGTGATCCAACAATACCAACAACAAGTACACTTTCACCTGTTTGTAACTAAATAAATACTGTGCAAGCTAGATAAATGCATAGATGCCCAAACAATGCAAATTAACTGAGAATTTTGTCTTCTTTTAAATAAAAAAAGATGAAGGATAAAAAGCGCCAAAAAGGAAGAAGAATCATATAGCTTACATAGCAACAGTAGTTTTCCTTTTACTTATTATTACAGGGTCCCCAATGGTTCTAAATGGTGAATTTATTAATGGACTTATTGTAAGTCGTGCAGAGGAAGAAGACAACTCTACCGGAAAACTGGAAAGCCGGAGAAAGCAGCAAAACAAGAACATGAACCTAAAGTTTTAGTCCAAAATCAGTTATTTAAAGATGCAAAAACTCATTGGTTTGCAAATTTGATTCCCTTGTCGATGGACGATTTGAGTTCTGCCTTTAGGGCTTCTAAGCCTTCCTTTTCAAAGTCTGAGAGTGGTCCTAGATCGAGCACTTCCTCAACTCCATTCTTCCCAAGTCGTACCTGCCAAAAGAGACAAGCGGTTCAGGATCTATAATCTGGTGATTTTGATTGATGGTTAATTAGTTTTTTGTGCACTTTACCTTTGAGGCGAAGAAAGGAAGTTCAGTGATGGTGGACTGGACGAATGAGCATTCCACCACATCTGGAACACCGTTAAGTCCCTTCAAGCATGCATCAGCAAATAGTGCTCCCGCATAACTATCCACAGAAAAATCAGGTTTCATAAGAGAATCAAACAAAACACATGACCAAAGGACATTTTGCGTAATAAGAATGCCAGAAGGAGTAGAAAGCTCAAAACAGTTTGTGCCAATTGATTGTGCCAAAACAAAAAGTGATAGTTATCGAACTTACGCCATTGACAAGGTAGCTGAACCCTTTCCAGCTTTCGCCTCCACGACTTCTGTTCCTCCATCCTGAGTACGTTTTGTGAGGGCCTTGATCAAATCATCCGACAAATTGGCTTGAGGACTAGCCTATATATTATCAAACAAAAGACAATTGAGGACGAAAACAGACCAAAATGATAACCAATAGCCACGGTATAAGAGAAAGGGAGGGGAAGACGATAGGTAACCTGAGAAAAGAGAGGAAGGATGGTAATGCCAGCATGACCACCAACAACAGGAACATTAACCTCTGCATATGCAATCATTCAAATCTAAACATCAGAAGCTACATCAACTCATAGCATTACCATATTGTTCGAATTAGATTAGCCAACAATCATTCCCCTAAGAAAACGCAAAAAAGAAAAAAAGGACATTAAAGAGCAAACCTGCAACAGGGACATTTGCTTTTCCAGCATAGAAAGTCTTGGCCCTAACAACATCAAGAGTTGTAACACCAAACAATTTCTTCTCATCGTAAGTACCAGCCTTCTTAAAAATCTCAGCTGCAATCGGAACAGTAGAGTTCACAGGGTTGCTGATCATGTTGACAAGTGCCTGATTCAAAAAAAAAAGAAGAGAAATTCGCAAGGTCACACATTTGGTTGTTGAATACCAGATCAATAGTAAAGGAAAAGCTCAGATGATAAGGATTTATCTATTACTTGTGGGCAATACTTGGCGATTGCGATGCTGAGATTCTTGACAATACCAGCATTAATATTGAAAAGATCATCACGAGTCATTCCAGGTTTCCTCGGAACACCAGCTGGAATGATAACGAGGTCAGCTCCTTCAAGAGCTTTACCCAAATCATCATCACCCATGTATCCACAAACCTGTGTCAGAGAGAAGAAGAAGATACAATCTCACATGAAAGAACGATGATGATACCAATACAACCACTATCAAAATACAAATAGCAAATCGTGGAGGATCATCGAGTCTACTACAATCGAATGTAAAAGAAGATCGCAATCGAAATGCAAAGGGAGAAAGCGATGAGTGAAAATGGGGGAATTGGATACCTCCGATCGAGTGTTGATGTGGCCGACGTCAGCGGCAACACCGGGAGTGTTGGCGATATCGTAGAGGGAGAGGGAAGAGATGAGAGGGTTAAGCTTCATGAGAAGAGAAAGGGGTTGGCCGATCCCACCGGCGGCGCCGAGGATGACGACTTTGCGGTGAGGAACAGATTCAGAGGCGAATCCTCTACGGAGAAGCGCTTGCTTCACCGGGGAAGAGGATCGAACAAGCATAGATCTGAACATTTTGGGCAGGAATTTTAGGTTGAAGCGAGGAATGAGAACAGGCAGTGAGGGAGAAAGACAAGAGAAGGCTTTCTGTTTTCGAGAGGTGATGGGCTCTCCAATAACAACAATTTTTTCAGGTTGCTTTTGTTGTTAACTAATTTAAAACTCTTATTTAATAAATTAATACTACTTTTACAAAACAAGCATGATTTGCTTCATGCTAATCAGGTTCTGAACATGCCATTTGTAAAATAAAACATCAAATGCAAATATGTAATACAGTAGCAGCCTATTCTTTCGAAGAGTTTATTAGAAAGCGATTATGATTTAATTGGCAATAAGGTAGGTACATAAGAGTTTGAAGATACACACGAACCACAACACATTAAGCTATTAGGGTCACTATTTACATGTTTTCGTTTGCTGTTCCGATCCACTTCGATTGATAGCTCAAGTTACATCACCTCCATCCATCCGGATTTTTCTTCAGTCGGCTCTCAAGAGCATCGAGGATTCGCTCAACAAAAGTGAAAAAAATTGTAAGCAAAAACAAAAGCCAACGAATGGTCATTGTCTATACAAGCTAGAGAGGGATCTAAAAAACGACATATTTTTCTCTGTTTGTAACCAAGAAAGAAGCCATAATCCATTAGCGAATCAAAATCTCACATTATAAAAGTGTACCCACCAGAGACTATGAACCAAAATGACACTTTCCCATATACCAAAACTAAAATTTGCATATTTCGGTAAGAAAAGCAGAGCATCGGTATCCACACCACAAGCCATGAGATTTTCACAACAGATTAGTGTCGGAAAATAAACAAATCCACCCACAAATCTGGTGATTTTCGCTACACTTGGATTACCACACAAAGCTTTGCTTCATGGTAACAGCAGTTTATTATATACAACACCAACAAAGGTAAAACAAAATGGGACACAATGAAGCATGAATAACACAACTTCAGCACAATTCAAGCTACGATCTTCACATGAATAGACCAGTACTTGAACCATTTCTCTTGTCAAGGTAGAAACACATACAATACCCGGTGGTTGGTCAAAACATATGCACCACTTTACCTAGAGATCAACTGTTGATAATCACAAAGCAAAGCCTCTAGAGCCAATTTAGATGTTCTCAAAAGTCACAAACAAGTAAAACACTTGAATCAAGGTTTCAGAAATATATAGCTAATCAATTAACCAGGAAAGGGTGAAGGAAAGAAAAAAGTACAACATATTAGTTAAAGACTCGCTAATCTAACAAACAAAACTCATCTGCCAAGTATGTCTATCATTAAAAAAAAAAAAATAGTACAACATCCTATTTCTAATAATTCATTTTAGCAACTACGCATTCAAAGGCCAAGCACATTCAGGTCAAGTGCAGAGAGGTCAAAGCAGCAGCTATATATTCATCATTCCAGAGATTTAAAGAGGCTGCAATCAGGCAATCACCACTAAGCACAAAAAGTACATCTTCGTCCAATAAGCTGTCACAAACCTGAATCAACACCCATTCACAACTCAATTTGGTCATTAGCATTAACAAAGAAATCAGCTTCATGCTAAGATTAAACACAAAAAAGGGAAAACATCCAGGCGCCACTTTTGTGTCTGTATGTCCTGCATGAAATTAAGGCATGAATCCAAGAATAACATCCAGACAACCAAGGCATTGCATCAAGTAGCTAACACAGTACAAACAAACATATACCCGAAAGAGAATCGGTGAAGAGAAAACAAGAACTTTAGCAAGCAAAACTACCCACAACTAGCAAAAGCCAGAGAATTTCTGGCAAGCAGAGATATGTAAAAATGCAATGATACATGATAATGCAACACAGTATGAACACTAGGCTAATAAAACAAAAATATACAAGGGAGAGAACAACGTCACCTTTTCAGTAGTTTGGCGGACCATTGGGGTACATTCCGCCTTGAGGAACTCTTGGCACAGGAGAGGTTCCAACAGCCTGATGCTGTCCAGGATATCCAGGAGACGAAGGAAGACCGTATTGCCCACTCTCCAGATAACCACCACCAGGCATCGAACTTGGTGGCATTCTATACGGCCCACTTCCAGCACCAGCCCCACCATAACCACCACCGCTAGGTCCACCATACCCAACAGAACCCGGACCTCCATAGTACCCACCATACCCAGCACCACCATATCCACCAGTTCCAGCAGTACCAACACCCATTGAGGACGGTGTAGAATTCATCTGATGCGGTGGTGGTCCTCCTGTGTACCCACTATAACCACCAGCTACACCATACGGTGCAACAGGACGCACCATTCCATTACTATGAACTTTTCCATAACCAGAACCGCCATCTTGAGCTTGTGGCATTGCAGGCTTCCCTCCTTTCTTACCGTCCACAGCCAACTTACAATTCAATTGTTTTCCGTCAATCAACTTCATCGGCTCATCAAGTGCAGCCTGCGCACCTTCGGCTGTCTTGTAGACAAACAATGCAAAGCCTCTTGATTTTCCCGTAACCTTATCAAAACCCAAAGGGCCTTCCTCAACATCCCCATAAGCCAAAAAATGATTCAATAGCCTATCCGAAGGCATTTCAAAGGGCACGTTCGCTACATAGATCTTCCTCATTGATATGTCGGAGACATGAGAAACAGTACCTTGATTTCCAGATGCCGCAAGCTGCGTCACGGTAACACGCCCATCAATCTTCTTAGATGGCTCTTTAAGAGCGAGCATAGCTCCATCCACGTGCACAAAGGTGACGAAACCATACCCTTTTGACTTCCCAGTCACCTTATCAAGGATCACAATAGCTTCTTCGAGATCCCCGTAATTGGAAAATAGAGACCGAAGACCTTCCGTAGTAGTATCCGCCGCGAGGCCACGGATGAATAGCTTCCGCTGCGTGATATCAGAATCAGCGGCTGATCGGACGGATTCGAGCACGTCGGCATGGCGTACGATAGCCTCTTGTAAGATGTCGAGGAGCTGATCAGTGGTGAATCGCTCGATAATCTTCCGAGCGTCCTGTTGGGTTAATCTAGTCGGACCAACACCATTGGTTATGAGTCCACCACCGTTCTCATCGAGCTTTCGCTTCTTCATCATCATATCCATGATTGCAGATTTGTTTCTAGAGTTCTCCTTTCGCCGGAAATCCCCAACCCTAGTCCAGTCGTAGAGAAAGCGACTCGAGACGAGAGTCACAAAAAATAATAAAGAAAAAAAATAGACGGCGAGAAAAAATTAGAGGGAAGCGAACCATTTATAGGGTTACGAGAATAAGAAAAGGCCTAGCACTAGGCCCGATTCAAGGCCCATTATGTTCTTTCCATTTTTTTTTTTTTTGCTAAGAAACTGCAAGAGGACTTGAGATGAAGCTAATCATTATTCGTATTTTGTAATTGTAAGGTGAATTTAGTGAAAAACTCAATGTTTATTCATTTATGAAAACACAAAATTACACACATCACTTAGCTAAAAGCTCATATTACAAAGTAACTCATCACCAATGGAGAGATAACTAAAGGCAAAGCTTTTCTTATTCAAGTCCCTCTCACACTTTGATCGTTTTGAAAATTACACAAGTGTGGCCTTTGCGAGCTGAAGACCTTTCTCTCGCCCGTAAAACTTCTCAACGATCGCAAGTGAGAACTCCATTGCAGTCCCTGGAGCTCTGCTCGTTATGACATTTCCGTCAACCACGACTCTGTGCTCAATATGACTCTGATCCGAAAGTTTGTTGCTCACCAATGGGAGTGTAGTTGCCTTCTTACCCTATACAAAAACATGTCTCTTATACCTCAGTTTAATGACTTGAGATATAGCAAGAGAAGTGATATAGCATTTTTTGCAGTTCAAGTACTGATTTGATTTATGCACCTTGAGTAAACCATTAGGTTCGAAGACGTAAGCAGGCACTGCGCAGATTCCTCCGTATGGTTTGTTTGCTTCGGCTTGTTTCTTTAACATATTCACAAGTGTCTCGCAGCTTGCGAATCTTGGAGCACCGTTACGACCGCCCTGTGATTCATCAAAGAAGTTCATTTTTCATTTTTGTTATTTCTCAATAAAATACAAAACTTACTGTGAGACTTATAAATGTTCATCTTTTGGAAGTTGGCATTACTCACAGGCAACACAATCAGATCGAACGACTTCTCTGCAACATCATCAAGAAGCACATCTGCTACAAGTTTAGCTTTGCGAGATCCGACAACTTCTAAACTGTTACCAACTGCAGCAATCACGACATTCGCTTTTGCACGCCTCAAGATATCTACAAGCGCAATAGCTTCAACTTCTTCTGAGTCCTCTGTAATGGGCACGAGAATCTGAAACAGGAAAACCACTATCTTTCTGACACCTAAACACTTACTGATAACGAAAGACAAAAGCTTCACAACAATCAAACATGCTCCTAGAAATCCATCTGACCATCAAACAGAGACTGTCTTGGAGGATGTTTAAAGACCAAAGTGGAGAGACAATTGAAGATATACCTGTGGGGTATCTTCAAATGACCAGTTTGTTTTGTTAAGCTCGGTAAACGTATACTCCTCACCAGGGTTAGGACGAACCAGCTGATTTCAAAATGAGAACAAGTCTTAAGAGGAGACGACAAAGCAAGTTTGTGAATCGAGGTGCGGTTGATAAAAGAAGCAGAGACAAACCATACCAAGATACTAGAGACTTCATCAGCTTTCTCTTTCCCATACAACTGCTCCACAAGCGCGATGGAGAATTCAATGGTGGTTCCAGGTCCTCGACTTGTCACTATCCTTCCATCTATCTCAACTCTTGACTCACTAGCAGTAGCACAAGTAGCCGCAAGTTTCTCCATAAAAACCGGATAACCCGTTGCCTATACGAAACCCCTCCCATGTAATCCAAACATTAGACAAGAACCTTAAAACAATTAAACAACGTTCTTGAATACTGATCACTAAAGGCTTACTTTTTTCCCTTCTAGTAAACCCCAAGTACCAAGAGCCAACGCAGGAGCACAACATATAGCTGCGTTAAGTCGTCCATCTGTGTCTTGTTTCTTTACCATATTCTCTAAAGGTTTACAGTTCTTAAGAGTCTCGCCTCCGGGAAGCCCTCCCTTTTACCAAACATATAATCAAAAAGAAGAATATCAGCAACCCAATTCTGAAGTATTTCACAAAAACATTCGAAACAAAGAATCTATGAAATCGTTTCAGAGAACGAAAATTGCAATAGATACATCTAAACTCATATTCTCTAAAGACTTTTCTTTGCATTAAGAGTGCTAATTTGATTATTAAAGCATAATTGATCGATCCTATTTTGGGTAAAACTAAACAATTCGCTCCGATTATCTCCTTAATCTCAAATTATTAAGCCATATATTAGCAGAGAACACTTACGGGAAGGACAATAAGGTCAAAAATGGAATCGGTAATATCAGAGAGGAGAGTATCGGCGACCATCTTGATACCATGACATGCATCAACGCCAACTTGATTCTCGACGGAAGCCACCGTCACATCAGCACCACCTCGCCGTAACACGGTGATCATCGCCACCGCTTCTAGAGGCTCCGTACCGTGCGCAATAGGAATCAAAACCTTTAAAAAACAAAAAAAAACCTTGGATCATCAAGAGAAACTACTAAATCACAAAAAAGGGGAATTAAAACAATGAATGATCTCGTACCGTCTTCGTAGATGAAGCCATAGTTGCAGAGATTCAACACAAGAAAACCAAAAAAACGTGAGGATTGTGTAGAAGAAAGAAAAGTTTTGAGGTTTGAGTGGAGAAGAAAGGAGTGTCACTAATGGGGTTAAAATAGGGAGAGACTCAGTGACGACGCCGTTTACGACTTTCCTTTTTATCGCCTTGATCAGAAGGTGACGTGTACGATGACGTAAGCGCTGAGGAAAAGACTATTCATGGAGACGTGTCAATTACAGATTGGTGGAACGTGTTTGATTGCTTTACTTTGACCTTCACACGTCATCGTATTGGATAAAAATCACAAAACCCACTTTTGTTTTGGCCTTTTCGGTAAACTAAGACGGCGTGTAGTTGGCGAGAAAAAGGTGTTCAAATTTCAAACGATGAGATAACGTCCCGATTCTTAGTTTTGTGTAAGCACGTGTTGTCGTTTTGATATTTGTAGTAGCGTAAACCGGAGGAATTTCAGAACCGGGATATGCTTATTCTTTTGTGCAAGCATGGTTTATGGTAATGTTTACCGGTTAATGTATCGGATGTGATTCTCCCTATACGTATGTAATGTACCCTTTCAACACTAACGTTAAACGGATATATTTGTGCCAAAAACTCCACTCGATCGTATCGTTTATAGACTAAACTAAATATAGCAATGGGATGAGTTCTTGCTCTCGTTTCACTTTCTATTTTCCAATAAAAAACATAGCTCAAAGAAATTAAAATTTCAGAGACAAGAGTGTTGAAAGTTAGCCAAAGTTGTGGTCTATCAAAAGCTTTTGCCAAGTCATATGCTTCAGACACAAAGATAATTTTGTTGATATTATGACTGATCATATACTTTCAATAGCCCGAACCAAAGATTTGAGATTAGCTTCGTGTATGGAGTTGATGAAACTAAAAGCTCTTGTACTATGCAACATGACAAATCCTATTCTAGTTTTGTTAACTGTTTCGATAGCCAACAAAAACACCAATGTCGTTTTCATCTTAAATTGGATAACAAATAAGTGAATGTACTTTTAGATTTTTTCCTTAATTTGTCAAAATCGTAATCAAGAAACAAACACATGTCAAGATTCAGAGCCTTATTGCTAATATATCGATGGGAATACAAATCATGTAATAATGTCTTCATATAAAACTAGTGAAATAACCCATTATTTTTCATGGAAACTGGTCGTCCATCATCATCGCATGTACCTTATATGTATCGTTAAGACACGTACAGATTCCCCGCGCAAATTACAAAGCACCATCCACTTAACATGTACTATTGATTAATTTGGATTATTATGGGTTTGATTAACTTACATATAAAAAGATATCAGATCAAATCAATTACAAATCGGTGATGAATGTTTTTTTTTTTTTTTGTAAAGAAAAAAACTAAGTTGAAATGACTTAAAAGTTATAACTCTTTTAAAACGACTTAATAAAACTAAAGACCGTTTGAAACTCTGGCAGTTAATACGAAAACGTTTTCATATGTCAAACTTGGTCATTAACTAAAACCCCATAGTCATAATTTGGCTATTAGTGATATGGTCGTCACTAACTGGATTAGAATTTGAGAATCGAAGAAAGTCAAACACGAAAATTGAGTTTTAATTTTCGTAGTTAATCGTAGTACTAAGTACATAACCGCTGCTTTGTTCCGTTGTAATTAAAAGGGAGACAGAATCTTAAGGTGAAAAAAATGAAATTGTCTTTTTTCCGTA